CTTGAAGTCTGTATGAAATTGGAAGTAGTTTGAGGATTCAATTTTTTATGCTTTTTAAGCTAAAAAAAAAAGGGGGGGGGGTCGTATTATACATGAGATCGTATTATACACGAATAAATACGGTAATTACTATTAAGGTTTGAAAATTCACACAAGAACGTCCCAATGAATAATAAAAATAAGCAAAGAAAACCTGATTTTCTTTTCATTTATAAATAAAAAWTTCTACTTTGTTTTACTTTATTTCAAACTTTCTTCTATCAAGTTTCAGGATCCTTTTTTTTTTCTTGCTTGTATTCAGTAAGCTGCCACTTAGAAACAGTCTGATCGGTTGGGCTTATAATGAGAGAAGCAGCGATGATGTGGCTAAGAAGGAGGAAGAGGACTGGGCTTGTCAACTCTGCACGCTCATCAACCAGCCAGCAGCCAAATGCTGTGATGCCTGCCTCACTCCAAAACCTGAAGGTGAGTGACATTCCCTGTCTTTTATAGTCCCTAGCTTTTAATAGGGTGACAGAACATCTGCGTTAACAAGAAATCAAACAACAGTAGCTGTTCTTTTGCTATATAGCCGAATAATAGCGTGTACAATTTGACATTAATGCTTCGGTGCCTTCGAGCGGTACGGCAAACATCAAATGACACTGGAGTCAAATGGGTGGACATCTTTGTGATGAGAGTGTTCGTATGTTGCAGAACAAGTAATGACCATGTCTGTCAGCTGGTCATTTTTTTCTCTGACTGTGTTGAGACWCTTGGCAGCTGCAGCAAACTTTACTTTGGAAAACGTGCCCTGCAGCGAGCAAACTACAGCCGAACGCCTCGAATCATATTGACAGATTTCTTCTATGTTTCACTGCTGCACTTCAAATGCGTCAAAAACTGAAGAGCTACACAAGCAGCAGTCCAGATTTTTTAGATTTCTGCCTTAATTTCCTTACTTTTTCAACTCCGAATTAAAGTCTTTTTTATTTTTTTTCTTAAAACAAGTATTCTTTGGTCTTGTCTTGCAACACATAACCCAAAGTTGGGGAATAATTCTTCTTAGACTAACTTTACTTGTAATGGTTTGCTCTTAGCTGTTCTAGCATTTCAATTCAGTTAATTTATATAGCACCAAGCCACAACAATTGGCTCTGTACACAAAAAACAATAAATCTAAAGARGCCAGCAGATTGTGTTGATTCTCTTCATCACAGTCTCCCATCCTGAGCAGCACAGTGGTGACAATGGAGAGGAAAAAYTCCCTTTAACAGGAAGAAACCTCCAGCAGAACCAGGCTCAGGACAGGYGGCCGTCTGCCTCGACCGGCTGGGTTTGGGGGACAGGAAAGAGACACAGACAAACAGGACTGGTCCAGGTGTATTTTTTTCTGGAAGAGAGACAAAGAAAACATGTTATTGATAGAAGTAATTCCAACAAACATGTAGAGGAGAGTGMATAAAGACAGCAGCAGAGTGAGGAAATGTGCTCAGTTTGTGCTCCAGCAGTCTAAGTCTATGGCTGTGTCCAAAACGACAGGCCGGSTCCTCCCGAGGACACAGACTACCCTSTCGAGGTGGGCTGGGTCCTTGGTAGACCGGGAAGACCGGAAAAAAAGAGGCTGTGAATTTGGACGGTCTAGCCTCCCGTCCTTACCCCGACGTACGTCATGTCACCTAGCAACCATGACGACGCTAAACAGAAGCAAAAATAGATCAAAAATAGAAAAATATCAATATATTAGCATTATTAATATCACAAAACAATAAAATTAACTTAAAGGTAACATTTGAAGAACCAATTGACCCACTGTAGGTGCATGTTTATTTCACGTTTTTTATGACAAAAATAATATTTTAAAACATGTCCATACAAATGATAAAAGTATTAGAATTACAACCACTAAAAATTTAAAATTTTTATATCGCCATATTTTTATTTAAAACGTATTATTTTCTCTCGCTTCGTCCGCCATTACTAGCTTAAAATAATCTCTGGTCGGGCCGCAATGCATTATGGGATAGGGTGGGCCGGGAAGGATCCATTGGACCAGTCCTTCAAATCGGGGAAAAAGAAGGACGTATTTGTCGGCCGCATCGGAGGAGTCTTCGGTTTGGGACGTCCTTCGTTGCGGCGCTATGACGTATGCGGCCGACAAATTCAGCCTTCGGAGGACCCGGCCTGCCATTTTGGACACAGCCTATAGCAGCAGAAATGAAGAATAATTCAGGAAACCTAAGTCTAACTATAGGATTTATCAAAAACGAAAGTCTTCAGTCTAATCTTAAAAGTAGACAGAGTGTCAGCCTCACGGACAGAAACTGGAAGTTAGTTCTACAAGAGAGGAGCTTGATAACTGAAAGCTCTGCCTCCCATTCTACTTTTAGAAACTCCAGGAACCACAAGTAAACCTGCAGTCTGAGAGCGAAGTGCTGTTAGGAAAGTATGGAACAATAAGATGTTTAATATATGATGGAGCTTGGTTGTTGAGAGCTTTATGTTAGGAGTAATATTTTAAATTCTATTCTAGATTTGACAGGGAGCCAGTGGAGAGAAGCTAAAACTGGAGAAATATGATCTGTCCTTCCAACTCTCATTAAAACTCTAGCAGCAGCATTTTGGATTAACTGAAGAATTCTTAAAGAGTTTTTTGGATCCAGATAATAAAGAATTACAGTAGTTCAGTCTAGATGTGATAAATGCATGAATCAGTTTTTCTGCATCATTTTTGGACAAGATATTTCTAATTTCAGTGATATTACGCAGGTGGAAGAAGGCGGTCCTGTAACATTTTTAATGTGGGGGTTAAAAGTCATATCCTGATCAAAAAGTAACATTATGTTTCTTCAGAAACATGAGTAGTTTTATACAAATACAACACTTAGACCAAAATCCTTTCATTTGAAAATTTAGATTTCTCTTTTTAAAAAACAACACCATAAACGCTCCACATAAAGCTGACTGAGCACTGTCTCATATCCTGATAGAGCCCTGATTTACATATGTGCTGTCATATATTTTATATTCACCCACTGTGCATCTCTGCAGAAACAGCTGGGGGTTGAGGGCCTTTCTCAAGGGCATATTTGTGAAGGTTTTTGAGGAACTGGAGAGCTAGTTATCCTCAGCTCCTCGTTTATGACTCTGAACTCACGTCTATTTACTAAAAAAAAGACATACTTAAAATTTTTATACGCGTGGGTTCATTTCTGCACCTTCAGCAACAAAGGTTTGTCTGGCATTTTATGCGAGCACAGAGCACAACAGCATGCTGCTTTCTGGTAAATTTTATGACAGAGCTAACCACTTAAAGCCAACAACAACCTGCGTTCTGCGAGAGCAGCCAGTGCATCAGAATGAGCTGCAGCTGCCGAACATAAATTGAGTTTCTCACTCTGGCTTCATCTCCACAGCCCACAAAGACGACATTAGCGCTGAAGCATCGCCCTTCACTGCTGATTTAATTAAATACCCCTGCAATGCCTTCAGGAAACCACAAGAGGAGCTCAAAGTCAACTGGAGGTCTGCGTTTGGGACTTCCACCCTTGTTTTCTCTGACATRAGTAAGAAGCCAAAGCCTGTAAACTCTCCACTCTCTCCAGCCGGCAGTCATTTGAATTCCTTGGCGGCAGAGCGAGGTTTATATAAAAACAGCTTCTGCCAAGGGACAACAAGCCCCAATTACGCCTCTGGTGGCTGGCAGAGGCAAAGTGCCGAGCTCTCCAAAAGGGAATCGCTGGCCTCCTACAGTCACCCATCTAAGAAAATGAGAATTGATCACAGTCCCTTTCCCAGTAACAAACCTCAAAATGGAGCCCCCAACTCAGGGTGAGTGAATCTCTTAGTTGGCCTATTCATGAACAAGTTTATAATAAGAAAAGTTTTTTGCAAGTTCAGGGAGATGTGTGTGGGTTTTAAAAAAAAAAAGAAAAAAAAAGGTCTCACTGTGGAATTTTAATGCAACATTGTTAAAAGAGTTGTGACAAACAACCACAGAGGAACACACGACACAATTATTACCAACAAACATTGTGAAAAAAGGTCACTCCTTTTCTAATAAGTGTTACTGTGACAGGCATTCTTGTTTTATTTACAACAAAAAGACGGTTTCTCCACATTTGTCAGTGTGTGCGAAACACAGGCATCCAGCACCGCAACCCCCTCCTCCTCCTCCTCCAGTCCCACTGCCCCTTGTTGTGCATCGCATTGGCGTCCAGCTGTCCTCAGAGTGGTCCACAAGGAGGGGGAGAACAAGGGACGCCATTTCTACACCTGCTCTCTACCAAGAGAAACCAAGTGTAACTTCTTTGAGGTGACATTGGGAAAAGTAACTTATTTCTGTGGAAGTTTTTAGTTTGAACTAGGGATGCACAGATAAGGAAAATTTCAGTCAATATCGATATTATTCTTGGTGTTATGGCCGATAACCGTTATTTACCGATATTACACAAACACAAAATTGATTTATATCATATCATCTTTTTTTCTAAATGACCAGACCGCTAACACATCTACTTCAGTTATTCCTGGCTGTGCAGTATCAGCAGTTACTTGTACCTATAGGTCAGTTCAAATCAACCTTACATGAGCTTTATCTACCTGACCTGTCAATGTTAGGCACATGTTTTATGATGTTGAGTACGCTTTACCTTATGTTTTTTACGTTACATGTTTTGGTTTTATTTATTTTGTATATCTTATATTTTTATCTGACATATTCTCTA